AATTAGCAAGACAATCAACTAATCTCACATATTGATTTTACTAAAAATAATTTTATTCTAGAAATGTAAAGGGATTTATCTTTTCCTCAAATTTGTCATTGTCAATAGTTGCTCCATTCCTTTTCTGAAGGTTCTTATTTATTTATTTATTTATTTATTTTTAATCTATTGGACTACAATGCTTCAGACGTGCTTTAGGTTTCATTATTAACCGATGTTGTCCTTATGGGACAATAATTTTAATTGGAGCATTTACAACCAGTAATGATCAATGACATTCATTTATTTACATCCATCTTCAGGATGGTGTGGTCGCTTTTATTAAATAAATTATTGACATTGATATTAAAGCAAATGTATGCAATACTGACCATCAATATATCATACAATTCATGTGCAAGTATTATATATAATAACGAAATGAATAATATCTCCCCCTAATCCTTGCATATGGGGATATGAAATAAATCTTAATTATCCAACAACCTTGAAATCCCTTGCACTCAAACCATAAATCCTTTTGGTAATGTCATGTATCAAGCAAAGAAAAATATTCTTATAAAACTCTTACTTGTTTCTCCTGCCCAATTATATTCATCTTTATGTTGAAAATTCGGTAAATTATGGGCATAAAACATTCTTCAAGTAATTTGCTCAAAATAGCATGTTTAATTAATTTCTTGAACTCATAACACTATTCTTTGCTCAAATAATTATGAACTTTACCATGAATTATATATATATATATAAAATATATACTTGTTAATTCTTCAATAATCAAGAGATTTCATGACATATATAGGAACACATTAGTTTTGTGAACGGAGAATAATCCAGTCAACATACTTTCAAAACCATTAGACATATCTAGATTGTTCCAGAAGGTTTCTAACCCATATATATGTAGTTATTATTAGATCTATTTTTCATAATTTGTTCTCTTCAGGAGATCAATAACTCAACATCAATGGGGAGACATATAGTTGATGCAGTTAAATAAGTATTAGAAGAATCAAAGGAACTGTAAATCAACAAGTACTACAAACAAATAAGCTATCATAGAACACACTCACCAAGGTGAGTTACTAACTTTTAATTATAATCATACGGTCAAACCCATAATCAAATTATCAAACCCCACATAACATAACAAAACAATACAATACGGAGTACGTCATAAATATATACGAAGTAACATGTATTAAAAGGCCATAATAAGTACTTGTATATTTTGTGAAAATAAAATTCAATATAATAAATGAAATAAGGAACTTCCCTGTTAAACATAATGACTTCATGATACCTCCTGTCAAAACTCAACCAACACCGCTAATACACTAATCGCATACTAGATTTTAATGGGCTTTTCTTAGCTTAATTTTAACAGTAATTTGATTGGTGCTTAGAGCTTTGGTGATCCATAATTAATAAACAATTCATTACAAAATCATATAATACGTAAAAAGATTCATGCTATTGAAATATTTTGCAAATCAAATCAAACGATATATAACTTCACATAATTGTATCCATGATGCTAAACATGTGATAATAGTATAATACTCATGCATTTAAAACGGACCTGATTCTCATAATAGATTAACACAATTCAATCGGGTACATAAAAGAAATTTATCAAATCACTTAGATTATACGTTCAAGAATAATTTTATTCTAATCGGAAATAATTTGTCGTGGTGCAATTAACGAGGAAAATCAAACAAGTACTTTACTCCATCAAAAAATATATATAATATTCCCATCATAAATTAAGAATGAAGTCTTAACCAAAACCACCATTATTAGGGGATAATAGAGTGATGAGAATTTGTCTTATAAGCACTATAGATAATACTCTACAACATACTACATATATATAACAAGTCAAACAATATTAAACCAATTAGTGTCATGCCAAACTTGTTTCACTGATATGGGTATATTATTCGACAGTTTATGTGGCAAGCATTTAGGAGTACTAATTTAATTTCGACATTGCAAAACAAAACAACGAATAAAATACTAAACTTTCGTAACATAATTAACATATACAGTATATACAATATGGTTACGAAAATAATAAGTAGATGAAAAACTTTCCTGATACGGATCTCGTTGTAGCAATTGAGGATTCTCTATTCTTAATATGTTCACTTTCTAGATTAGTCACATCTCACATACGCCACGAGGAGACCGCAACCCACTTAATTCCATTAAAGGAATATGGTCCAACACAGATCATGTAATTCCAACAAGAATATGGTCCAACCATTAATCTTGTTGTGAATTTTGAAATTAAACAAAACTATAATTCAAGTAACATAATTGCACGCAAGATGCAAATCGCAAAATTTGGATTTATATTCCATTCAATTTGTCACTTTGAGAGAGATCTATGGTGCTGATAACGTGTTGTGAAATAATGGGGAAAGATGAGAGATTGAGAGAGAATTAATCTGTGTATATTATTCTATATGATAAGTTGTATATATACATACAATATATTAGGGTTTAATTGGATAAGAATATAAACCCTAGATTGTTCCGGAATAATGGATATCCACAAATATTTCATAACATTCAGTATATTTTTTAAAAAATAAAAATAAAGCCCACATATATATATATATATATATATATATATATATATATATATATATATTAATGGACATAAAGGCCATATATAGGGGAAACTATAATAAAAAATAAATAAATAAAAAATTTACGAGTACTATGAAATCTACCCAAAATTACAACTAAAAAAAATCGGGGGTAATATATAATACGTACTACCTATTATATAGGTGAAGCTGGAAAGTGGTTGATCATCTTTTCAAACTCAATTACGCAAACAGGCCTTTCTACCTTTGATTATTGGGCTCTCTCAATCTCAAATACGGCTTGTTTTTGGGCCTCCTTAAAACTCAAATGTCCAACATTATTTTGTTTTTTTCCAGCGATCCCAGTCCCAGCTAATTGCAGATCGTAAGTCCACTTTATTATAACGAAGATCCATTCTGGCCTTGTGGGCTAGTTCTATATGGGACATCTTTGTAGATGGTCCGAAAGAACTCGCACCCCATAAATAAACCATTTGAATTACTCCGTATCATTGTCAAGATGGTGGAAAACTCATTTTGTTATGATCTTAAAGTCATAATTTTAAGCCATCAACTACATATATTTGAAAATAGAGGATTTTGTAATTTGGATTATCCTTTAATAACTTTGCATGCACGATACAACATAATGCGAAGAGGTTTAATTAGGTGATTAGAATTGATCAAATCTAATCAAGTTTGATATATATGGTGATAGTGAAAGATAATAAGACCTAATCAGATATGTTCAAGTGAAAAAGATGCAACCTAAAAACTTATAACTTGGCCATATTACACTTTTAAGATTAGACGACATTATGCCAGAAGACATAAACAAAGATGCATATAAATTTTTTAAACTCTGCTTCTTAAACACAAACATAAATAAGATGTGAGACTCCATATAATAAAAGGGCATTACGTACTTATTAGAGGATTAAGACAAGACATAAATCTTCAATAGTACTTATTTTAGCCGTATGGAACTAGCCAATTCAACGGTAGGACATGAACTAAAGAAATTATAAAAGTTTTCCCACTTCAAGTTGAAATCTTCGCAAGTAAGGAAGTGACTTGTTTATCATTTAGAACAAGTTTAAAGTTTAGACGTTTTAGTATGTCAAAAAATGATATTTAGTACGATACAGTACTTCATATCATATTCTTATAATTAATTAGCAAGTTACTCACACGAGTCAAACTACGGAGTAGTACTCGACCTACTCATATTAATTATTAAACAAATACTTGTAAGGCTTAATATCTCCTATTCCATACAAAACAACAATTATCTATACGGAATACTTTAGGAAGAATCAAAATCTCATCCACTGAATTAACCATTTAATGTATGTATAGGCGCTGGAAATTGTGCTCAAGAGTATAGCAATTGAAGATGTACACATGTACTGCAGCATGCTAAAAGTTCTAAGAATTTTCAGGAAAACAAAGCCAGCCATGAAAATTAGTAAATGCCTCAACATGGAATGTCTCAGATCTTAATTAATACCAGGCTAGTTTATATCCAAGTTTTATAATTAGCATCTTATGATTATCTTATAAGGCCCCACATTTTATTTTGTGTTACTTATGTTAGAGCAATGATAATTTAACTTCATTTGTATAAATACTACGAGTATCTGTCCTAGCTTTTTCCCCTAGTTTGTGTATTGTAATTATCAGAGTTATACCTGTATATAGCTGTTGTACATTCCTCCTTAATAATTGAAATCATGGATCATGCCCAATCATCCACAACCAAATTTTCAATGTTAATATCTTTTCGGATAATTTTGTTTTGGTCTTTTGGATATTATGTGTGTCGTTAATGTCATGACATTTTGACAATTCATATTCAACTTGAAATTGTGATGAACATACATACATGGCCTTGTCGATTCATCTTGAACATAGGTGAAAAATACTTATATTATGAGAAAAACTTAACTCACTCAATAAAACGATTCTTGCCTTAGATCCCAAAAGTTTAACCATACTTTAAAGATTCTAATTTATAAATTTATTTTACTCTGTACTAAATAAAAAATTATACAAATAGATCAAATTCATTCCATATAAAGCACATGCTCTTTCAATTCATATGACATTTCCGGAAACATCACATATTTGTATTCTAATGGTCACAAACTCACAATTATATAAACCTACTTCAAAAGTGAAAACCAAAAGGGCAAGTTCCTCTAGGGCTTAAGTACAAAACTCCAGATATATAGGCACAAATCAAGCCACAAAATAAACTTTGGTAAATACATACTCTGTATAGTACAAACAACTCTAGTGGGCCCAAATCCAAAAATACATGTCCCAAAAGCATATACTACTATAATTAAATTAAAAACAGAATTATTATTATTATTAAAGTTGAATAAGCTGATGCAGGTAACAATAATACGGGGTAATAGGCTAATGACAGATAGTTGACAAACCAAAAACAACATTTACTATTATGGTTCAACATTAAATACCATAATTGATACTACTACAATAGTGGGACATGACTCAACACTTGCTTTTCCTCTTCTCTTCCTTTTTTTCAAGCTTTTTCTCAATCTTCTTTAAATTTTGTTGTTTTTCTGCTCTCAACAAATATATTTTGATGGGTCCTCTTAATCTTTATACTTGCTCCCACTAAATATGTACTTATATATTCATTTTTCAACTATATAGTATATTCTTGTTACTTACATACTTGCATAAAAAACACACATGTTCATCTTCTTATTATTGCATAAGATAAAGTATATAAGAAGGTGATTCTTAATTTTATTTTTTTTTGGTTAAAGAAAGATGAATAGAGAGATGAATGGGTATGAAGATGGGGTGAAGGAGATGAGAATAGATTATGTGTATAAAGTAGTTGTGATTGGAGATTCAGCAGTTGGAAAATCTCAGTTACTTGCTAGATTTTCAAAGAATGAATTTTCTTTTGATTCAAAGTCTACTATTGGTGTTGAATTTCAAACCAGAACTACTACTATTAAATCCAAAGTCATCAAAGCCCAGATCTGGGATACTGCTGGCCAAGAAAGGTAACCTTCAATTCTTTCTCTTCAATTCAATCTTGCTGCTATATTTGCTTATGTTTCCAAGTAGTTGTTTGATTTACGCGTTTTCAATGAAGAAAACCACATAGTTGTTTGATTGACAAAAACACGGGATAACAAATTAAACCGACTTTCTAATTTAGTGGATAAGTTCCTATGGTCAACAATGAAATTATTATAGGCGTGCTCTAGAGGTAGTTGATGTTTAATTAAGTGCGTGGTTCTACTTAGTTTTATCTATTTATGGTTTTAGGATTAAAATATGAGTTAGTTAGGCTAAGTCGCCTACTGTTAGTTGTCTAACTTGTTACATAAATAGACGTATGCAATAAATGTATAAATAACTGATTTAATAAGCCAATGAAATAAATCTTATCCCTGCATTTTGGCACTTGGCAGTAGCATACTAGACAAGTGTTTGAGTCACATCTTGTAGTTACGTAGTATTTCTTCTTTATCTAAACCCTTGCCTCCAAAAACCGGAATTTTCACACACATGGTCGACATGGAAGAAAAACTAGACCATATTTACGCCTAAAACTAGTTATCAATTGAATAAATTACTTTCGGGTTCTTTTAATTGCAACATTTTGACTTTTAAACCTGACAATGTGAAATGCGTGTTGATTGTTGATGAGTATTTTTTTTAACAATATGCTTCAAACATGATTCTGATCTTCTAGATATTTAGCTAAACTGTACTCATGTTTTGTTTTGTTTTTTTATTTTAAAAAAAAAAGCATCCAATGCCAGTATGCCACACATCAAACTGTATAGCATGATACTGTACACTGTAATACAGTAGTCAGTAAAGACTGTTTAAGCTTGTTTAAATAAGGTGAAACATTGATCCATATTTGATAATGTATTAATTGCAAATACAAATTTTAATAAGATGTTTTTAACGGCCATAATTTTGTCGAATATGTGATTAATTACAGTAGCAAACTAGACTAGCAGATCAGCTTCCTGATCCGATGTCATTCTTTAATGAGACAATTTGTATATTAGACAGTTGTTTACATGTAATCTCACACCATTCATATATGGATGGACCTCGTTTAAGCCACATTCCTAAAATTCAATTTTATACTGTACTCTGTATTAGATTTATTTGCAAGTTCATTATTACATGCCCAATGTATGTTTCATGTATGTTTTGTACTATAAGAAATTCTTAGATGGTTCGGGACCATCAAATAGTTTGTACACGTAGAAGATTAACTCCATTGGAAAGGGAAAAAAATTACAAATTTATGATGCATATGAAGCTGATATTTACAGTATTTGTTAAAAACTTGAAGGTACAGAGCAGTAACAAGTGCATACTACAGAGGAGCACTAGGGGCAGTAGTAGTGTACGACATAACAAAGAGGCAAACATTTGATCATGTAGTAAGGTGGGTAGACGAGCTCAGGGCCCACGCGGATAGCTCGATCGTGATCATGCTAATCGGAAACAAGGCGGATCTAGAAGATAAACGGGCGGTCCCTACAGAAGATGCAGTGGAATTTGCACAAGATCAGGGCTTATTTTTCTCAGAGGCATCAGCATTAAGTGGTGACAATGTGGAGAGTGCATTCTTTAGAGTACTTGAGGAGATATATAGCAATATGGCCTCAAAGAAGGCCTTAGACTGTGATTCTCCTAGAGGTAACCAAATGAATGGCAATGGATCAGTTACATTACAAGGCTCGAAAATCAATGTCATAGCGGGGTCTGATCTCGAGATCAGTGAGATGAAGAAGTTGTCCTCTTGTTCATGCTAATGCTTGTGATTCAACAGTTTGTGGATTTTTATGCAAAGTTTGTTTACATGGGCATGGTGAATCAAAGGAAGCTGTAAAATGTGGTTGTGACAATTGTTACGTTTTGGGATAATTTGGTGTGCTTCACTTTGAAGTTCCATTTTGGGGTAGTTGATGATTTGATCTCCTATTTTACAAGAGAATTTTCTAATGTGGTCACAAATAATCACATTTGATAATCATAGGTGTACAATTATGTGAATGTTTTCTGTACACTAAGTTGATTCTTAATCCAATCTACAGTACTACTCAATCCAATCTAATGACAATTTATTTGTCATAAAATTCCATGATAAAAGCTAGGTTTGTGTACATGATTTATTTTTCACCCCCTTTCTTTCTTTATCATTGTCCAATTTAAGTGACCACATAAAATACGGAGTTCTATTTGAATTCTACTGGTCAAATATCACGAGCATTAATTCAGTCTATGCGAGAAACAAATTACGTGGCTAACACCATTTGGAATAACTAGAATGCCCGGGCGCCCATGTAAACATACGGAGTACAAAATTAGAAAGGTTTGTGAGTTCAAGTACAGGCTTTTGATGATAGAAATAATTGAAAGAAAAGACTTTGCTGTAATTGTAAATAGGAGATGTATGTGGTAGTTGTAATTGATCATTACCATGTGTATTGATCATGTTACTTTATTTGAAAGAAGCTTAGAATGAATTATAAGTACAAATCATAATGAAGCAAAAAGATTAGGTACACCTGGGATGAGGTGTTAAACGAAAGGTGTTAGTTGTCAAATTATGTTAGGTGAAATTTACCCATAGCAAGCGGAATTGCGGAGTAGATGTGTTCAGTCTAACTTGCCCAATCTCACAGTCTCACAAATAATTATGAACACTCTCTAGAGTCAATAGACCAACCAAAATTGGCATCTAGATTATTTTGATTTTAGCATGCGCATGAAATTGCCTTGCTCTCTTGCTAAGATTTTAGATGTTTGTTTTTTCTTATGAGTAGTCTCTCTCCTAGTAGGTGATGCGTTTAAAATTGGTGAAAGTGGATGTATTTTTATTTCCTCTAAGAGGAGATATTAAATCTGTAAGCTAGTCAGCGTACACAAATCAATGGATAATATTTTTGTCTAAAAACATTGGGGAAAAGTAACTTCTAAACTATGCTTTGAATATTCAAGTCATTCTCTACTTGTTTCAATGTGGTACAACTCGCATGTAGTAGTATATTATTCTTAACAAAGATATGCTATAAATTGAGAAAGATATTCAAAGTACAAAGACTAGAATAGACCCGGTCTACAATAACTTATTGTAGACCCAACCTTCTTGTATACCATACGAATGTGATTATATCATACAAGATGTGATTATATTACTACAAAAGTGATTATATCATTTTGAAGCTGTTATATAAATGTATAACTCAAAAAGTGAATTTATCGTTATAAAAAGTATCAAATAGTAAATTACATCATTTTAAAACATGATTTTTAAATTTTATCATCCTAAAGATAATTATATAATCTCATTAACTAGTTTAATATGAGATTATATAATTCAAAATATGACTCACAAAAAGATAATTATATCATCTAAAAAAGTGATTATATTATCCAGAATGTGATTATATTATTTAAAAGTGTTAAATTTTAGATCTATAATAATTTATTGTAGACCGGGTCCATACAAGACCAATTGTATTCAAAGTACAAAAGTTAATTCAATCAATAAAAACACTCATTTACATATGGCATATATCATTATAACCTATTCCTAAAAGACCAATAGGACAAAAGTAACTTCTAATCTAGGCTCATTAAAAGGTCATTTATATCTTGGTCTTAATAGACTTAATTGGCCTGACTCCTAAAAGACCAATAGGACAAAAGTAAACCACTTAGGCCTCATCGTATGGATAATAAATATGCATATGAGGCCACACTATGAAGCCCATATAATTTGATTAACATAGCTTGCACTAAACACTGATATTTTATCCTTGGGCCTATGATCCTTTGTATGCTACGTCAGAACACTCTTAATTTTTTTTATTTTTTTTATTTTTTAAGGCAGAGTACTCTTAATTGTTTGATCAACAAAATAACACATTGATCTTTTTGGGTTAGTTTGACATTACTGTTCTTTTCTGTTTTTTAGTTTTTTGTTTTTCGAAGTCATATGATATATGTCATTTTTTTTAAAAAAAAAACCTGATATATGTCATATAATGAATAAAAAATTTGTCAAATTTATTAAAACTCATGATAATTTTGAAAATTGACAACATAAAAGTGAAAAGACTTTTTTCTTGTTTTCTGTTTTTATAATTTTATTTTTTTTTAAAAAACATAAAATTAAAAACAAAAAACGATGACAAACAAGCCCTAATTAGTAATTGGTGTTGTTTTTATAATGTTTTTCTTGGGAGAAAATTCTATTTCCATTTCAAATTACTTACCCTAATTTTTCTATCTAGGTATTCTAAATTTCTTTCTTTATATTTCTAATAATTGATATATAATTAGGTAAATTGAGACAAACAGTGTAATCGAGTATTAATTAATAGTTATATAAGCATTTATTTATAATGCACAATAAAATTGTTTTGTACTAGTACAGAATAATATGTACTTCGTACAATATAAATATATATATATATATATATATATATATATATATATATATATATATATATATATTTTTTTTTTTTTTTTTTTGAGAGAATGTACTTCGTACAATAGAATTTATTTAAATAATTCAATACGAAATATATTTTTATAATATTAATTTCTAAAATTTTTAATTTTCACTCAAGGATTATATTATACAAAATTATACCGTGATAATAAAAGCAAATATTTCTAGAGTATTCCATATAATTATTGCTTCAAATATATCCACCACTTTTTTTCTTCTAGGTAGAAACATCAATGGTGTATAGACAAAACTAATTAATTAAATAATTAACTAATTAATAGCAATATTGACATCTTAACCACAAACATTGCACACACGTAGCCAAACACTTCACGAAAATGATTTATTTGAAGCTTGAAGATTGACAACTTAGCTTAAAGAAAGTGACCCTTTCTTATTTTTGTCTTTTGTGTATACAAAAATATAAAGAATATTATTCCTTTTGGAAATTGTCCAAAAAAAAAAAAAACTCCATTTTCTAGAATCTTATCTTAAACAATTGAACAAATATACAAAAGGAAAATAGAAAATCTTTGAACCACCAAAGCTAACAAAAATGGATACCTTTTCAAGCTCCATTTCAACAAACTTGCAAGTCCCTAAACCATTCAATCCCCACCACCGTAAACCCACTCATCTTTCACCCCACCACCACCACCACAACCACCACCCTTCCTCCACCGCAAAAACCACCGCCACGTCATCAATCTCCTCCCTCCCACAAAAAGACAACTTTACCCCTCTCTTCTCCTCCTATTCCCAAAAAAGGACCCCCTCTCCTTTATCATCCGCAAGACTATCACCCCCACGCGCGTCAATCCACCGCCGAGCATTAAGTGGATACGCCGCAGCGCTTTTGGAGATATCCCAAAGAAACGGCACCGTTTTGAAGGTTGAGAAGGACGTGAGGAGGCTGTTAAGACTCGTGTTTCGAAACAGCGATATGAAAGTGAGTATGTTTATGAAGGATGAGTGGGTGGAGGAGAAGGAAAAGGGTGAAGTTGTTATGGAGTTTATGGAGAAGGCTAAGTTTGAAGGGCATTTGTTTGGGTTAGTTAAGATGTTGGTTAAAAAAGGACAAAGAGTTGAGTTGGTTAAACAAGTTCTTGAAGAGTTTTTGAGGGTTTTTCATCAATTAACCACTACTTCTGGTGTTATTTCTCATGCTCCAACTTCTAGGTTGGCTTTGTCTTAGATTTTTCATGTAATACTAATAGTTATTATTAAAGAATGGTAATTAAACTTCTTGTTTATTTGGTCATGCTTTGGTTTGATTAATAAGGTTTGAGTTTGATTATCATATGATGTTTACAAGAGAGTACTTAGCTTGGTATTTGTATTCATTGATGTTTATTTTGAAGATGTTGGGACTTTTGTGTTGTGTAATATTGAATAATGGACAGCATTTCTGGTTGTCTCACCTGATGACTGATGTGGTGCCTGTGAGAGTCCTCAGTCCTGACTCTCCTGAGTGATATACAAAGTTTTAAGTTTGTTTTGACCCTTGTGAGTCTTGATTTATATGTAAGCGTTATTGGTAATTATATATCTAGCAATGGTTTACATATATTTGTGTTAACACTCAATGTTATAAACTCATATATGGTGTGTGTTAGTGTGACATACATCTAACCCATGTACGATACACAGATATTTGACACATTTACAAGTATTATAGCACGCAAGAGTGTCTATGGAGTATGATTTGAGAAGTTGAGGTAGAGTAATGACATTATTTCTCATCTCATATTCTTATGGTTAATGGATTCATCTCATATTCTTGTGGTTTATGGTCACTAAGGATCAATCTTGCTTATGTAATTTTTCTTATTTCCCCATCAAGTGGTTTAAGTACATGAGGTGATTTAGGTGAAAATCATGAAACTTATAATTGAAATAAAGCATACATTAGTGCTAGTGTTAGTGGTGTTCCAAATTCCAATGTTTATGTCATTCTCTAATTAATCAACCATCAACCACTCTTAGGATTCCATTTAGGGTTCAAGTCTTAATGTATTTATTGGACTTGTACACAAACATAGGAGATAAAAACACATGGCAAGTGAACTTTTTATTGTTTGGGGTAGAATTACTTTGTTGATAAGCGACAATATAAGTACTTAATTTAAAGAGTTTAGGTTTAGGCATTAGTCAAGCTATGCTGCTATGCAACTCTATTACGGAGTAATGAATTGAAATTTATCTAGCAATTTTGACTGAATGTTACTACTATTAATTGTAAGGGAAACAATTTACTTTATCAATCCCTCTTTAATTTTTTTTTTGATTTGAATTATCTTTACTAATTACAATGTCAACAAAGATTATGTATAAAATATAAGATATATAGAGTACAAAGTACATTCCGTGAACATATTATTGTTCTGTCCCAAAAAAAAAAATAAAAAACATGAGTATTCTTTAAACTTTAAAATAATTATCAAATGCTTTATAAACTTTAAAAATCATGCAATATATACCAATTAGGCGACTACGAAAGCGAATTTTTATTGTAAAAAAAAGGGTTTTTCTCATTGGTAGCAATAAAAGTTCGTAAATTCTCTATGGTAGAAATTTTTTTGTCAAATTATCTTAAATAGCATTAGTTTTACAATTATTCCTTTGTATAGCTTTATTTTATTAAATGTGATATATTAGCCTAAAATACACTAACCATGGTTATGTAATAATAATTTACTAAATTACCCTCACTTAATTTATTGAATGATACCTACAATAACCAAAACCCTCATCACTTCACTGATGAAAACGTTTAAGTTTTTACTTGTTCGATCGCTCAAACTCAAGTGCAATTATCAAAAATTCATCACCTCAATCATCTCAATCTGCAAAAAAAGGCCTAATTTCTACAGTTACAAGGTAATTCCTTCTTCCTAAATTTCAAACAATGCAAAAAACAAACTTTCTGCATTAGATTGCCATGGATGCCCTGTTTTACATATGAACTAATGTTGATGAAGTATGGTTTGTTTATTATGTATTAAGGATTAATCAAATTTTGTTTTTTTGTTTTGCTATTGTGTTTTGATTGTATTAGTAAGTATGAATGCATGGTTATTGAATTGAATATATGTATCTGTGCGTTTATCAATTCAATTTCTCTCCTTTTTTTTTCTTTTTTTTTTTAAAAAAAATAATTCTATTTTAAAGATTGTATATTTGAAATTACCAATTTATTTGGGTATTTAGAATTATATTGAATTCATCTATAATTTTTTTCTTTGCTCTATTTTTCATTGAATGTAATACAATTAGGGTATTTGATTTTTTTTTCTCTTGAACTATGCAAGTTGCAATTGAAAGTCATTTTTATTTGTTTGAAAATTGCAGAATGGGTGACGAAATTGTGTTGAAATTTCAGTATAATAGTGGTGATGTTACTGTTGTCGTTGATGACATTGATACAATAAACCTTATTGATGTGGCTATTGAATACTGGGACAATGCTGTTAAACATGGTATAGTGATGCCTAAATTTTCTAGCTTTAGATATGTGCATGAGATGAAATACCACTATCTGAACACTGATAAGGATTTAATGAGGATGTTCAGTGAGTTTGCTGGAAAAAGTGAGATTTACATATGGGTCTATGATGAAGATAGTCCAACTCAGGTTTTTAAAGATGCTAAGAGTGTAAGGACGACAAGGAAAGAACAAGAGATTAAGGAGAAAAAAGATGCAGAACTTGTCGGGTTTTCAAATGCTAGTCATAGTGGGATTGGGAGGCATAATGATGTCGTTATAGTTCCAAAAATATCTGAAATAGGTAAGCCTTTAAAATTAACACCCAAGAGAGGAAAAATGTTAGTGTCTGAGGGTACCATCAATCCAATTCCAAACCCTACCATTGGCCAAAATAATGAAGGTATTGAATCAAATCAGGTTGATTTGGATGCGTTGGATGATTTGAGTCAAACAATAAGTCCTGTAAGGGCTAGAGGGGGGAGAAGAGGCGGAAGAGGTGAAGGGAGAGGAGGGAGAAGGGGAGGTTCTAGGGGAAGAGGAAGTGGACAATCTAGAGGTTTTGAGTATTGGTTGGGGCTTGAAAATGAGGCAGGAGCTAGAATTGGTAATGTAACATCTCAAACTGAGCATAGACAAGCTATTGTTGAACCTGATCGACCTGAACAACAACCTAAACAACAACAACTGTTAGTTGTGTCATCCCTTTCATCTAAAGCCCTAGTTATGAAGAAGAAAATGACAAAGACAATAGCTAGGAGGAAGGGTTTGATAACTTCAACTTAAGTTTCACCTTCGGTTGCTGGAACATCTAACATGCTTTCACTTGAAAATCAAGATCTTGATGATGAATATGATCCAAAATTCTCCTTCTCTGGAACAGACAATGAATCTTCAACTGATGGTGATGAAATTGTAGATGGTGATGAAGATGACGGGCAAACGAATAATGAAGCTGATGGGATTGTTGTTGTGGATAACTATGACCCATATGCTGATGATGTTTGGGAAGATGATGGTGTAGAAGATGATGGTGTAGAAGATGATGGGGATGGAAATTACTTTGCAAAGCTATATAAAAATGGGGAGATGTTTGATAAACAGGAAGATGGTAAGATAAGACCATGGCAACTTTTCTACGACAAGCAACATTTGAGAGATGTAGTCAGGGACTATTGTATACAATGAGGCTTTTCAGTGATTGTTGATAGGGCAAACAATTCAATTTACACTGTGTATTGTTCTGCAGAGGGATGTGAGTGGAGGCTACATGCTTCTAGATTAGCGGATGGTTTCACTTGGGCTATAAAGTCAATAAAAAATGGAGGGCACACATGCTTGGGTTTGGAAACTAGAAATCCAATGGTGACTTCAAAATGGGCTAGTAGAGTGCTATTAGAAGACATTAGAGCCAACAATGATATTTCTGGTAAGGCATTGAATGCATTACTATGGAACAGGTTTAATGTTCAAATGGCCACTAGTACATTGTATAGAGTCAGAGCTCGGGCCTTAATTGAGATACATGGTGGCTATGATGACTCATATTCTTTTTTGCCTAGTTATTGTGAAATGATCAAGAAAACTAACACTGGTTCTAATGCTAGTTGTGTGTGGAATCCAAACACTCATGTTGATAGGCCTTTGGCTTTTGTCACAATATTCATTTCATTTAAGCAATGTTTGGATGGGTTGAAGAATGGAATTAGAGGGTTTGTTGGAGTTGATGGGACACACTTGAAAGGAAATTATGGGGGTGTTCTTCTTTCTGCAGTAGCACTAGATGGGAACAATGAGTTGTTCCCATTTGCTTGGGGGATTGTTTCTAATGAAGATTCAGACACTTGGTGCTTCTTTGTGCATCATTTGAGGGATTTACTTAGGTCAACTGGAAGAGGAGATAAATGGTGTATCATTTCAGATCGGAAAAAGGTTAGTCTCATTAAGTTTTCACTTTTAATTTGTATTTCATTTTAATTTAACTAAATCATAATGTTAAATAAATAGGGAATTGAAATTGCACTTGACAAGTTGTGGCCAGAATTAGGTAGGAGATACTGCACCAAACATTTAGCTTCCAATTGGAAGAAAGCATTTCCTGGTCCATTAATGCTCTCTTTATTTTGGAAAGCGTGTGGTGCGTGTTCTGAGTTCACCTTTAAAAAAGCTATGGAATAAATGGATAAGGTTGGAAAAGGAGGAAGGTTATGGCTTGCAAAACTAGGCAATCAAGCTTGGTGGACAAAGCATAAGTTTAACGTTGCAACAAAGTGTGATGCAAATAAGTCCAACTTTGTTGAGAGTTTTAATGCGACTCTTGGTATTGACAGATGTAGACTTGTACTTACACTTTTAGAAGGTAAATTATCGTATATATGTCATCTTGAAATGCATTATGCAAGATTTCATGGCTTGTGTTAACAATGCTACATTGCGTCATTATTTGTTGTAGGTATTCGAAGAAAGACTATGGTAAGGTTGGCTTCTAGAAGACAGAAGTGTGAGGAGTGGATTAGAACTGACATTTGTCCAAACATTGTGCAAAGAGTTCAAAAGTTATGTCATGACTCAAGGACCTGCCATTCATATTTGTCTTCCTTCGGTGAATTTGAGGTGTTTGAGGGTAAGTCATACCTACCTGTAAGCTTGAATAACCAAACTTGTGTTTGTGGACAATGTCAATTATCTGGGATTCCATGTAGACATGGAATGAGGGCCATATTAGATTCTAAGCTTGACCCTCATGCTTTTGTTGATGAGTGGTACTCTGTTAAAAGATACAAGGCAATGCAACATATTCGAATGGCATTAAATCAATACCAGATCATGAGCAATGACCTAAGTTTAATTTACCAAAAATATTGCCACCTGAGCTAAAAAGAGGAATAGGAAGACCAAGCAGGAACAGGAAGAGAGATGAAACAGAAGATAGGAAGGGGAAGAGAGCCAAAACTGTTAGGTGTAGCAAGTGTCAAGATTTTGGGCATAATGCAAAGACTTGTAAAGGAGGAGCTACTGCAAAGCAAAAGTTGGGTTCGAGTAAAAAGAACATGGCAAAATCAGATGCATCTTCTCAAGGCATTGATGTTCCTAATGTAGCAGTAAGTTCCCAACCTAAAACAACTAGAGGACACACTTCAAGGCTAGCTACATCTCAACCTCAACCTATTGGAGTAACTAGATCGGGATCTCTCTTTATGTTTGCATCTCAACCAAGACAATTATAAACAAGTGTCTTATGAATAATTTGTATTTTGTTTGGTAGAACATGCACTATTATGAACCAATTAGTTAAGTGGCAGACCATTTTTAAGAAATTTTGCATTTGTCTTGAATAAAATTTTGTTGAATGAAATTTGAATGCTGTTATTTTGTTGTTAATTTACTGTATTTAAGTAGTTTGCTGTTATTTTACTGTAATTTTGTTGCAGGCTGATGGATTCTTTTGATTTAGTTATTATTTTGTTGTTGGAGCTTTTTTAATGTTGTTGCTTTAATTAATCTGTTTATGTGATCTGTCAGCTCTTGGAGATTGACAGGCCTATGGCTTCTCAATCTGATCCAGAGTCCATTAAAATCAAAGTAAGGAGATACTTCAGACATGAAAACATCTCAGTTAAAAAACCACATCACTCTGAAATTCGTGAGGCATAATTGTTCAGTGCATATGTGTCTTTACCTTGTAAACATATACAATACCGTATGAATTATGTACTGAATATCGCATTATATATTTTCTTATAATTTGCTCTGAAGTCATCTAACAATGTAGCTGCAATCCCACTACTTGTCCATGTAATTTGTATTAATAAGGTTGCCCATGATCAATGGAAATTTGATATTTAATTGTGCCAACCTTTTGGCTATTGCTTGCAAGTTGCAGCCTAATTATATGTATTTGATAAAGCTCCCTGATCGTATTGGACTTACAAAAGGTAGTATACTTGTATCATTCAATAAATTAAGTGAGGGTAATTTAGTAAATTATTATTACATAACCATGGTTAGTGTATTTTAGGCTAATATATCACATTTAATAAAATAAAGCTATACAAGGGAATAATTGTAAAACTAATGCTATTTAAGAGAATTTGACAAAAATTTTGCTACCATAAAGAATTTACAAACTTTTATTGCTACCAATGAGAAAAACCCAAAAAAAAAAAAAAAAAAAAAAAAAGTCGAATTTATGATTGGCATAAACTACATTACTAATTATAGAGACAACTAAACAAAGCACCGTACCCTCAAGGCCTCAAGTAAGCTTCCCTGCACTTGGCTGGCAATGATGGCACTCCGTATAAGTTAAGAAGATGCCAGAAATCACAGCTTTGTTATGAATCAAGTGAAGCAAATCCACGCATTTTCCCTCAGAAATGGCTTCGATTACGCCCAAATCCTCATCAAAAAGCTCCTCAAAATCCCCAACATTTCTTATGCACACCAACTGTTCGACTATATTCCTCAACCAACAACCATCCAATTCAACAAGCTTATTCAAGCTTACGCTTCCCATGGTCCTCAACAACAATGTTTCTCTCTCTATTCTCAAATGTATCAACGCCATTGCTCCCCTAATCCTCAAACTTTCACCTTCCTTTTCGCCGCCTGCGCTTCGCTCTGTTCTCCTCACCTTGGCAGGATGATCCACACTCATTTCATCTTATCTGGGTTTAAATTTGATGTATTTGCAACAACTGCATTGGTTGATATGTATGCTAAGTTGGGTTTATTAGAATATGCTCGTAATCAATTTGATCATATGCAATATAAAGATGCACCCACTTGGAATTCTTTGATTTCTGGGTATGCTAGGTGTGGAAAGATGGAGGAAGCAGAGAAATTGTTTCAGTTAATTCCATTGAAAAATGTGATTTCTTGGACTACAATGATATCTGGGTATTCTCAAAATGGGCAGTATTTGGATGCTTTAAACACCTTTTTGTCCATGGTGAAGGAAGAAGGGTTGGAGCCTAATGAGGTTAGTGTAACTAGTGTTCTTCCAGCTTGTGCTAATCTTGGAGCATTGGAGATTGGGGAGAGGATTGAGAAGTATGCGAGGCGAAACGGTTACTTGGATAATCTGTTTGTCTGCAATGCCTTGTTGGAGTTGTATTCAAAATGTGGTAAACTTGATAGAGCAATGCAGTTGTTTAATGAGATTCGCGACAGGAAGAATCTGTGCTCTTGGAATTCAATGATGATGTGTTTTGCTATACATGGAAGACATGAAGAAGCTCTTCATTTGTTTCGTTTAATGTTGAGAGAAGGGATGGTGCCCGATTCTATAACGTTTGTAGCGGCTCTAATGGCTTGTACACATGGTGGCAAGGTTGCTAAAGGCCAAGAATTATTTGCATCAATGAAGGATAAGTTTGGTATTATTCCAAGGTTAGAACATTATGGTTGTATGGTTGATCTTCTAGGGCGTAAAGGGAAGCTCAATGAAGCTTATAACCTTATACAAACTATGCCAATGAAGCCTGACTCTGTGATATGGGGCACCCTTTTGGGGGCCTGCAGTTTCCATTGTAATGTAGAGGTGGCAGAGAAGGCAGCAGAGGCACTTTTTGAGCTTGAGCCGTGGAATTCAGGGAATTACGTCATTCTCTCTAACATATATGCTTCAGTGAAAAGATGGGATGGGGTGGCAAAGCTGAGGAAGATGATGAAGGGAAGCCAAATTATAAAAGCAGCTGGCTATAGCAGTATTGAAGAGGCAGATCAAATTCATATGTTTATTGTAGAGGATAAATCACATCCAAAGTCATATGAGATATACACTGTGCTGGAAAATGTATACCATGAGATAATGAAGAGTGGAGATGATATTGAACTGGATGCTTAATTTCATAAATTTCAATACAGCAAAGTTTTCTTGTGTCATCTTTATTGCTCTAACCATTTGTCTTGCTTTTTTTTTTTTTTTTTTAATAATTTTTTTGGGGCATTTATCTGACAATTTCAATGGACATACATAAGGGTGTTGGTCAAATACAAATGGAAGCCAGGAAGAAATCGTGACCTCTGATGGATCAGATAGTTTTTGGCTGGTATGCAGCGTAACTTGTCATTGTAACTCGAAGCATATGCAATATGCAAGTAGAGCTTTAATACAACTGTCCACAGGTAAATATAACTCATCACCACTGTATTTTAGCTTTATTATGCAACAGCTGAAATATCACTGAAAAAACTCAGGCATTTTTTATAAATGCTAGGTTTGGAACATTGAGCGTTCACTTTATGCTAACTTGCCTGGAAAAGGCAGTAAATAGAAAGGAAAAAAAAAAAAAACCACATTCTTTTGTTGTTAAAATGTACATGGACAAGTACTACTAAATCTACATCTACACATGCTACAGGACGTAATCATATGGAAAAACAAAGTTATATATATTGTGCCATGCTTTTCATATCCATTGCAGGGCTTCCCGTCTGTTAGTTCCCAAATGCACCAGAACAAAGGCTTACATTGCCTTCACCTTCACCTTTGAAATCTTTCGTCGACTCCTTCCTACTAATTTGAGAATTTCATCAAGAAGGATCACTGGAGCAGAAACAATGATGACTAATAACCACTCAGCAGAAGTCAGTGGAACTATACCGAACACATTTGCCAGTATGGGAACATACATTATGAGACAGTGAAGCCCAAAAGAGAAAGACATGGCAATCAACAGCCAAGGGTTTCTCCAGGGTGGCATTGTGATCAGACTGTTGTCTTCAGAGAGGGCGTTTAAAGAGTTGAACATCTCTATTGCCACCAAAACAGAAAGCGAAAGGGTCATTGCCTTCACTTTACCAACTGCAAAATAGTCACATGGATTTGTGAAGCTTATAATGTGCCCCCCTGAAACTGTGAATGGGGAAGCGGTGAAATTTGACCATGATGAGCACTCTCCCCAGTTTTGTAGCTGAGACATTTGTATGAGTGTGTGGCCATCGCTTATGAGATTGATACCCAGAAAAGAAGGTTGAGTAAACCATAAGACAAAAATTCCGACTGTTGCCAAGCCAACATAGGACCCAATCACCTGGTACAATGAGAAGATCATCAGTTAAACATAAGGAAGTTTTGCATCCTTCATGACATATTGACATATGGCCTCGCTCCTCTGCAGCTTTTGATGCAGGGAGTAGGAGTGGCAGCATCAGTAACCTAGTAAGGGTCCCTTTTGCTATTAAGATAAAGACTCTTAAAGATCCTTAGGGAAGAGAATATCCCTTATGAAAGGGATTAGTGAAAAGAAAAGTAAGAAAAATTGAAGTATGAAATAGTTTGTTAATACGCACCAGGTATCGGAAGAGAACCCAGGAATTGATTAGAGGATCATTACTTCTGCGGGGAGGTTTGTGCATGATGTCTACATCTGCAGGGTTGAAACCTAGGGCTGTAGCAGGTGGGCCATCAGTGACCAAATTTACCCACAAAAGCTGTACTGGTATCATACATTCTGGAATACCAAGTGCTGCAGTCAAGAATATGGATATAACCTCACCGACATTGGATGATATCATGTACCTGCACATAGACAAACGAGAAGGGATTTGAACTTTGATAACCTATCCAAAGATAAAGCTTGTAGATGTTAATATGAAGCGCAGCTGTATAGTACCTAATGAAAGCTTTCATGTTGTTGTAAATTGAGCGACCCTCAGCAACAGCAGAAACTATGCTACTGAAGTTATCATCAGCCAGCACCATATCTGCAGCTTCTTTTGCCACCTGGATCGTTGTGTATTTTAGTTTTAGTGCATAAATATGAAAATAGACGGAGTTGATGTCTTTCTTAATTGGATGTGTCAAGAATGAAGTGAAGTTCAATGTAGAGTTCAATAAATTGCGATTTCCTTCTGGGCAAAAAGAAGAAGAATGTGTGTACCTCAGTTCCAGAAATGCCCATTGCAATTCCTATGTCTGCAAGTTTTAAAGCAGGAGCATCATTGACACCATCTCCGGTCATAGCAACAATCTCTCCACTCTCCTTTAGCATCCTAACAATTTCTTGCTTGTGTTTAGGCTCAGCACGAGAGAAAACCTTCCCTCCAGGTCTAGAAAGAATTTCAATCTGTTCTGAAGAGGAAAGTGCCATGAATTCTTTGCCAGTAAAGCTTCTTCCCTTCAGTTCTTCACTGTCAGCAAACAACTGAATTTCTTGACTGATGGCCTCAGCTGTAGACTTGTTGTCTCCAGTAATGACGATCACTCTGATTCCTGCTTGTTTACAATCACCCATTGCTTGTGGCACTTCCTCACGTGGTGGATCCTGTTGCATTTTAAGCCTTAGAAGAGTATAGGGAAGAATTTGAAACAGTAACTACTAAATACGAAGGACGATCATTATGTGAAAAGAAAATCTCACCCTTATACCAACAACTCCCACGAAAACAAGGTTGCTCTCAATTTCTGGGTAGCAAGCAGGATCAAGGAGCTTCTTATGGGCTGGATGACTTGCATTCGAGTAATCAGAAAGCTCACCCAAGTCATCCTTGTATGCCAGTCCCAGACATCTCAATCCCTTTGAGCTCATCTCAAACTGTCTCAACAGCAACAATTGCTTGCAGGATTCATCAATTGGAACCATTGATCCATCTGCTAGTTGAACATGTGAAGTGCGCTCCAATAAACTCTCAACAGCGCCCTGTGAACTCCTTGCTTTTAATTTCAGGAAAAGTTTACAGCAAATGAGAAACTATAAGCTAGCAGCAGATGTAACTCACCTTAACAAGTAGACGGTTTTGACCAGTTGGTTCTTGGACAATGACACTCATAGACTTGCGAAATCGATCAAACTCCAGTGTTGCCAACCTCTTCGACCTCTTTGCCCACCAGTCACAGCAAACTGCCCATGAAGAGATTTATATGAATATTACTCTATTTAATTAAGACCCTACTGTAGTGTTGTTGGAGGCCATTTCTGTAATTCATGCAACTACAATTAAAGTAAAAGAAAAAGATAATATGACAAGAAGACAAACTGCTCACCTAGTTTGACTGAAGTACGATCGATCATATAGTTTGCAGCAAACTGCATGTCACGGATTTTGTTCCTCACCTTAGCATCAGGAACACTCATTTTCTCGACTAAAACCTTAAGTGCTGCTTCAGTAGGCAAACCGGTTGCTTGGTAAGCACGACCGTTGCAGAAAATCCCAGCATCATTGCAGACAGCAGATATTTCTGCCACAGCTTGGAGGCTTGCGTCCATATTATAGCAATTCCAGTCCACTATTCCTCCATCCTTTGGATCATATGTAGTTCCGTCAACTTTAAAAACTCGGGAAGTTGTAGTTTTTCCTCCCAGGGTGAAGAACTCAGTCACAGCCATCTGGTTGGTTGTCAGAGTGCCTGTTTTATCCGAGCAAATAACGGTGGTACACCCTAAGGTTTCTACACTAGGCAGCTTTCTAACTATTGCATTCTTCTGTGCCATCTTCCTTGTGCCTAATGCCAAACAGGTTGTGATGACTGCAGGTAGGCCTTCAGGAATGGCAGCTACTGCAAGGGCAACTGCTATCTTAAAATAGTACGTACACTTCTCAAAAGAAAATCGGAAATTTGTTGGCCATCCATTCACAACATCCCAAGATAGGAAGTATTTGTAGTTGATGAGCCAAACAAGAAGGCAAACAATTCCAATAAAAGTAGTGAGCCTACTACCAAACTCGTCGAGCTTCTTCTTCAAGGGAGTCTCGCTCTCATCTAATGAGGCCTCATGAATCTGAGTCTGAATCTTCCCAATCTCAGTCTTCATCCCAGTATCAACAACAATAGAAAGACAAGCCCCATTGACAATCGTCGTGCCTGCAAAAAGCATGTTCTCCTTTGCCTGCAATTCACAGTCATCTAGGAAAACAGGCAAAGTGCACTTTAGAACAGGCATAGATTCTCCTGTCAATGAGCTTTGCTCGACCCTCAAAGTCGAGGTTTTCAGAGCAGCAACTCTCATATCAGCAGGAACTTTATCTCCCACTCGCAATTCAACTATGTCACCCGGGACTAGCTCCCTTGCAGGCAAGTCCGGGATAACATAACCATCTCTTACAACCTTTGCAGACTCACCCTGCAAGTCTTTCAGTGCTTCAAGGGCTTTCTCTGCATTAGTCTCTTGCCATACCCCAACAATGGCATTAAGAATAAGGATCAACACAATTACAAAAGGCTCAACATAGGCCTCAAAACCGGTCTCACCGGACTCCCGGCCATGTAAATAAGCAAGTATAAAAGAGATAAACGCGGCCGTGATCAGTATCTTTACAAGCATATCATCAAATTGTTCCAACACAAGATGCCATAGAGGCTTCCCTTTTTCCTTGTCCAACTCATTCCAACCATGCTTCTCCCTTCGCTTTTCGACTTCATAACTGCCTAAACCCTTGTCTAGTTTGACATTGTACTCTTTCAAGCATTTTTCAACAGACCAAGACCAAGCAGGAAATGGTTTTTCTTCCATTGATGTTATTGCTACCATTGCAAACTCACAACCCAACAAAGATTCTCGATCTTTCTTAACTTACACTTCTTAAAATTCCATCTTTTTTTTTCTCCTGCATTAATGTTCATACAAAAAAGGAAAATTACTCAGATCATATGGTATACTTGATTTTCAAACATATTTCAATTCTTTGTTATAATCAATTAATTCTGTCTTTGTGATGATTATAATGTCAAACCAAACCAAAGTGAAGAATCCAAAAACGTAACTCAGTCAAAAACAGTTTTTAAGTCATAATCAAACCAATAAAAGTCGTATTAACATAATAACTAACTAATGTTACCTTTGAAATTCAAATTCTAAACTTTGCTAATGAAGGAAAAGTCTACAACTTTATGTTAAATTCACAAAATATGAATAAATCCCATAAAAGAAATCAACAATTAC